TAACTCCATTAACATCCAATTTAAATTTGTGACCTTTCTTGCATAAAGTTGTAGTTGATACTAAAGTATCATGTGCTTTAGGATCTCAATGAACATCCTTCACAACCACATGAATGCATTTTCTTATAGAATCTAAAATTGTGAGATGCATCTTACTTGAGCCTTGTAATTTGTTTATGCCACCATCATAGTTTTGAAATTGAATAATCACATTTTTATTAAAATTAAAAAATCTTACTCATATCTTCTTAGATATATGTATATATATTACATTATTAATACAAATATAATATTATAATTGAAACAAAAATATAATTATTATTTTTTAATTAAATGATACCTCTTAAATTAAAAGAACATTAACAACTCCAGCATTTACTACACCATTTTTATTTTTTTTAGAACATTCTACATCATCTTGTCAATGTTCTTTTTATTTACAAGCCCTATAAATACTTTTAGACTTATCAATCTTAGGCTTCTATTTTTGTTGTAGATGGCTCTTTTTTAAAACTTGCTTTCTTCTTGCATGCACTATTAAAGCAAAAAATGGAGAATTAATCTTCTCTTTCTTTTACATCTCATCTTTAAAGAGAATAGATTGCACTACTTCTTCCATGATTTCTTCTCTTTTTTTCAATACGATTGACTGAATAAGTGGATCCTAAGATTTTAATAATATGATAAGTATAAAAAATGTCATGCTTTATTTGTCCATTTTTCTATCTGTTTCAATATATTGATTCTTAAGATCAAAAATCTCTCAAAAAAAAATCTTTATAGATTTGTTATCCACGTATTGAAGATTATACAATTCCTTCATTAAAAATATCTCAATAATAACTATTGAAGGCTTATGAATCATAGCCAATAAGACCTACATGTCCTTTGTAGTATTAAATTTGTGTATATGAGTTAATTATGAAGACTTAATATTTAGTACAATCAATGCTTATGCTTCTGTTTTACTTGATTCTTATTTTAATTTTTCATTAATATCCATAGGATATTTTAATGTCTTGTCTACATGCATGTAGAGTTTGCAAATGCAAATTAAGTGTTTCATAATGAATGTTCATATGCCATAGTTTTTCTCATCTTATTGATCAATGCAATGATCCATTAAAGATGTCATTTCCAAATACAATTAATGCAATAGCAACAAATAGCTATACAGAAACAATTAACAAATGATCTATAAAATGCAATATTTGGGAAGTAGTAGTATTACCAAGTTATATTGAAACAAAACAAAAAAAAAAAAAAAAAAAAAAAAAAAACTTATTTTTACCACTAGTAATAAATAGAATTTAATTAAATAAAAATCACCATCAATAGAATTAAACTCCAACTATAGCAGCTCTAGCAAGGCTTCAACATAGCTCTAGTAAGGCTCCAACAATTCTCCAATTTTAACAATAGGCAAATCATCCAATTTTTCATCTACAAAAGATCTATTTTCATCCAAACTTTATCCAATGATATTCATTTATAACACTTTTCATCCAACTTTGATACCATATTATGAAAACTAGATGAATGACATTCTATTAAAAACAAGAATGTGTTGGTAGACAAAATAAGAGTAATTCTAGTGTCAGTTAAGAGCTACATAAGTCACAACTTTCAGTACATAGAATATGGGACATTTAACAGATGGACAACATCCTTTAATGCACCCATTTCCACTGTCATGTATGCGTTTCTCCATTATATTATATTTTTGTACAGTTTCGGTGATAGAATCGAAGTGGGCACGTGGAATCGACAATTCAGAATGCTATAGAACTTGAGTCGTAAAATCTATATTAAACACATTTAGTCCCAGAATTTGTAACTCGCCTTCAAGTTTGCAGCTGGAGTCATATCTCACGAGGTTTGATCTATCTATCTCAGAGAATTCCATGTGCAAGCCCACTCGCAGCAAAGCGCCGTTCCTCTCTTTGTTGAACGGGGATCAACATGAAAACCACTGCCGATAGCTGCAAGCCCCTCAAATCCTAATGATTTCAACTTGACTGTTGTTTTTGCATCTCAGCATTCCTTTATTCTAGAGTGAGAATCAACGGAGGACACAATTAAAATATTCAACATGGGTACTTGGGTGATTTGATAGCTGGATCTGTCATGGTGGCGTTTGTGCGTGGAGCTCCTTGCCCTAATCATTTGTAAATTGCAAGCTTAGACTAAGTTATTACCTGTTGAGTTTGGTGACATCCAAAACGAGAATGAGTAAGAGCTCCCACAGAATGTTAAGAGGCTTTTCAGTTGTAATGTACTAGTCTGCGATGGACTTATTTGCAGATAAACACGATTTCAAGGTGGGTTGTCCAGTCGTGATGGCATTTGCGCTGCACGACCTTAAAATTGTGTTCGTGAGCTATTTAATCAGGATTAAGGTTGTTGCTATTGCATGTAGGGGTTTTCATTCTCTATCCAAGTACCTGAGGCAGGTCTAAAGGACAACATGTCATGCTCAGCTTCTATAACATTGATTAACAGTGACTGTGAGGCGCTTCAAATCAATGTCCAAAATGTTTTACTGTGGTAGCAATAGCACTTTGTCTGTGTACATGACAGTGAGCAATCCAAGAGGCTGTATTGTTGACAATGCCAAATCTGTTTCACCCAGCGACTTGCTGGATCGCTGCATCGGTTTATGCATGAACAGATGCCTTTGGTTTGATCAAGCTGCGATTACCTTTGAGGATATTCTACATTGATTTGGGTAGTCAAAGAGGGTCTCTGGCAACGCTACCCAAATCAATGTAGAATGTCATGGAGGAGCGGCTGTAAGCAATATGATTTGTTATGAGGTGAACAACCCCTGGAAGTTGCAAACAACCGATGCATTAATAGAAAGAAAATACGGGGCGTTCAGATCATTAGCAAGAACAGGATTTGGCCGTGCTCGAGGCCAACGGGTATGCACTAATCAAACAATTTGTGCATGGGAATCCACGGATTAATATTAATTTTTTATTTTATTTTAATCCAAAGCAAACTTAAGTTTTATGTTGGAGTTTTGTTTTGAATGATAAATTGAAAGTTTTTCGGTTTTGTGTTATGAATTTTTAATGTATCAAATATCGATGTAATAAATATTGATTACATGTTAAGCATACATTTGGTGGCTAGCCATGTGTAATTATAAGCATGTGTTGTTATCCTAGCCAATGGTATAAAAAAGTTGAAGTTGCAAAATGTAACCTGAGGAGATATGAGTTATGGTGGATTGGATTAGCCAGTAAATTGTTTAACACTTGAGTCAAACAATTTCATGGTGATTCTTAAATAACACAAGTATGTGTTGTAATTAATTAACAACCACATTCATTAAATTTTGTATGTAAGTATGTTTACTGATACACATCTAAAAGCTCAATTTTCACCAAAGAAAAATTTCAATACAAAAGATGAAACAACTTAAATCATTTTTATTTTTTTTCATCAACATTTCTTAAATAGTGATCAATTTTTGACTCACAACCACAAATTAAAATTTTACACCTTTTTTGTGGCCAAGGGCAAAGGTTTCTACTGGTATGTCTATATATATATATATATATATGCACCCAATTTTGTTCTCAACCACTGGATCCATCCATAATGTGGTTAGGCTCCCTTCATTGACTAGAGACAGTGATATAATTGCCAGCCCTCTATTTCACAAAATTGGGGGTCTTTCATAATGGCAAGCACTCTCATGAGGATCTAAGTCATGACTCTCAATGTCCAAGAGTTATTGAGAGCATGGCATAAAAACACACCAAACCCACATTAGTACACAAAGAGTTTTAGTGGATTTTGTAGATACTCAAGCATGCAAAGGCAATTTATTGCCACACTTTGAACAAAATCAACTCCAATTGTGCACAGAATTAGGGTTTCTTTACTTGTGATTGGCATGCAGAATACCAAACAAAGATGGTGCACACTTGGGTTCCTTTCGGTTTTTGGTTTTTCTTTTTCTTTTTTTTAGTTTTATTTTTAGTTTTTCTGTCTGTTTAATTGCATTTCCTTTTTTTCCCTTTTTGTGTCTTCCTTCCCACTTTCATTTGTTAGAAACTGGGAGTGTTCCACTGAGTGAAATGGACGAGACATGGTAACTAACATTCAGGTACTTTCCGTTTGCCGACGATTAGCTGCGTCAGAACCCTAATTTCAACAAGCTCATAGGATGGGTGGGAACGTGGTTCCATTCAGAAGATAGCATGGGCCGACATTAGTAAAGGGCATTCCACCGAGCAAGGGCTAATGAAATGCACTACACTGTCTGTGGGGTACATGAAGGTATTATTTTTAAACAAATTATTTCATTCCTTTATTTTATTTTATTCTATACATGAAAAATAAGGTAGGTTGAGGTAAAAGTTCCATAGTTCAGCTGGGTATATGCGTTTACATTGGGAAATTTTACTTCGGGTGAGTGTTTCATTTTATTAGGTGATTGGTGTTTATATCTGCAACTTTCCATTCGATACACTTGGATGAAGTGTTTTCCCTTAAATGCAGCAATTATGACACAATTCTAGTGAATAATTTATTCGAAAATTATCCAAAATCGAATTCTTCTTTGACTGCTAGAGTGAACAAAAAATAAGGGTTGCATCTGCGTTCGCAAGAGACCTTTGATCTCCTTTAATTTCCCCAAAAGAGAAAAATAAATAAAAATTAAATGCGAAGAAGCAAAGAACATGCATTCACGATGAAAAAAGCAAAGAGTTCCAATAGATCCCCACCATAATGCTAATCTGGGCTTCATAAACTAAGCCACAGTGGGGACGGCCCACGCCTGATAGTGGATAGTGTAAGAGAATCGTGCAACTTAATGTGACTGGATGGGGACGATGAATTACAAACACGAGCGAACGTCTTCATTAATTCATACATAAACATAGAATGTGTGGCGGATCCAAGTGGATTATATGATGGTAGATACGCTTAGATGTGCAGAAAGCTGGCTAAAGGAAGAATAAGATAGTAAAGTGCGAACATGAGGAGGCTGTGGTAGTGTCGAAGTGTGAACAGAAGGTCAGGAAGTGGGTGCCATGAACAGAGAGACAATTGTTACTGGAGTTGGGCACATAGGCTTCAAGTTAAAGACGTCAGGTTAGAGGTGAACAGTCGTCGTAATTTTCGACGATTCGTTGGTTATTTGGACGAGAAAACAGAGAGTTTTGGACGTGGATCAGAGCCGCGGCGTAGTTCGAAGGTTACCGACAGCGAAGAGGTGGAACAGAAGGAATGAGATGCGGGAGCGCTAGGATGAGAGATTCCTGGGAGGCTCTGGACCCGAGGCCCGAGGGCGTGTTGCGCTTGGCAGAGCGATTTGCGAGGTTGGGGGGACGTGGTTTGCGCCGGCGGCCTCGATGATACCACGACCGCTGCCTACAATTGTGCCTCTCGCTAACACCGGCCGCCTTTCCTTTTTCCAACATGCTGACTCTTAGGAGTCCTCCACCCGATCTAGGAGCCGCCCGTGTGTTTCCGATTTCTAGTATAACGCGAATGCTGCCTCGTTTTTCTTTCGTTGCTCAGTTTGGATCTGGCTTCTGATGAGACGACTTTTTTTTTTTTTAGCTATCCATGCGTCTAGCTGAGACTACGTGGGCCTGCCTTGCGATTCCGCGTGCGATTCCGCGTGCGATGCCACCGTCGTCGTCGTCGTCGTTGTTTCTGCTGCTGTTGGATGCCTTGTTTTGTTGCGAATGTTGATTGCGGCGGACCGCATCTTCTGGACTCAGTGTCGAAGTGCGACTGTCGGCCGATATGAGTTTGTGAAATCATGTGAGACGAATTGAGTTTGTGTGGTCAATGGACGTCAAATGTTCTAAGGTTTTTGGTTCGCGTTTTTGGCTTCAGGTGATGGTGATCTACAGTGGCAAGAGTTGGAATCTTTTTCTTGAGGAAGCCTTAAATCTGAGAAGTGCTGCGAGGTTGTAGTGATAAATAATTGGATCGTAGCTGGGAAGTTTTCATTTCAACGTTATTCTTCTAAGATGGTTTTGTGTCTGCTGTGTTTATCATACCCTGACGACTATGTGTGGGGTTTACGATCCAGCAAGAGCTGTGGCAGCATTCGAGGTGACATTGTGTGAAGCGGTGAAGGGACTAGCTCTGTTTTTGTGGTGTACTGATGGAAGTGGTAACTGTACGGAGCTAAGATTGGAGTTCATTTCTTAGCCACGACTGCAGACAGTGCAATTCTTCTAGCTGCGCATAGGAGTTTTATTTTTTTATTTTTTTATTTTTTTTCTCACTGCAATGACATCCTTGATCGTTTGTGCTTCTTTGTAGCCCCGAACTTTAAGAGATTGTGACTCCACCGTAGATCGGTTATTGTATACACTGTGCTATTCTTCCCGATCGAGTCCGATTCACTGTTTCCTGATAATCTTCGATCTCTGATCTACGAATGCGGGTCGATTGGTCCCCTCAAGAAGAGGAGCAACAGAATGAAAGTCTAAAGAGTCATGGTGCGGGCGGGTTGGCTTGGGTGGGTAGTTGCTCAGTACAAAAGCCTCAACAGGGGGTTTATGTCGCATGTAGATGGTCCATAGTGGCGTAGAAATGGCATGGGAAAGCCCACGGTACGACAAAGCCTTATATTGGAGTCCTAACGACCTCGTGGATGCTTCTGTCGAAGTGCTGATCTCGTTTTTAGTGCTTATTTGCACGATTCTCAACTTAATCACGTCTTTCAGTATACGAGTGACTGGATTCCACATTCCTTGTTCTTGCTGCTCGCATGTACCGAGAAGTGAGTTGAGGAGCACAGTCGAAGCTACTAAATACTCTTTTGCATCTCCAAAGTTCAAATCAATCGCTACCCCTGTTGTAAGTGAAGTTGGCTTGTACGAGTTCCATCGTAGTGATGACCTTTTCAGGGATCTAGAGCTGAAGAAACCCGCAGACCTGACCCCCAGCTGTGAATATGAAGAGAGCAGTCCTGCGCGGTCATCATTGGATGATTTCAACGACCGAAGTCACGAGCATGTAGACAGGGAGCAGTATGTGAAAGCTCAAGAGATTCTGCGTGCTCTGCAGTCGGAACGTGAAGTCATGGCTGCTCTCTACAGTGAGTTGGAAGAGGAGAGAAATTCTTCCGCAACAGCTGCAAGTGAAGCCCTTGCCATGATCTCCCGGCTACAAGAAGAGAAAGCAGCCGTTCAGATGGAAGCCCGGCAGTTTCAGCGGATGGTGATGGAGAAGGCCATGTATGATCAGGAGGCAATTGAAGTCTTAACAGAAATCCTTGGAAAACGCGAGGATGAGAGACTTGCACTAGAGGAGGAGCTCGAGCTTTACAAGGAGAAGTTAGAATCTGTGCTGGCGGAAGAGAGGGATTATGCTGAAATAGTTGGAAGGGACTATGCTCCTTTGCTGTTGCTAGAGAGAACTCCCGCGGAGGAAAAGTACATTTCTCCGAAATCTGAACGAGCAGAGCTCCCGGTGTCCCGAAGGATCACTCCCAATGGAAGGATTCCAAAGGATGAGAAGATTACTCCTACTGGAGCTCGCGATAGAACCACTCCGAATGGAAAGACGGGCAAGGATGAGCGAACCACTCCTAATGTGAAAACGGGGAAGGATGAGAGGATTACACCAAATGGAAGGCTTGCGAAGGAGGAAGAAGCTGAATTTCTTGATAGGCTCAATAAGACTAAGAGTCAGCTTCTGACTGCTCTGTTACAGGAGAGGATTCCTGACAGTGCGAGCACTTTGGACGATTCAGCGGCCTTCGCTAATGAGATCCACAAAGCGATGGCCAAAGTTCCTGTGAGAGCTGAAAGTCTTCCAATTTTGGAACACGAATGTTACAAGCCTTCGTTAGGGCTGGCTACGATCAAGATAGGTCGTGAAATAGGTCTACCCGTTCCTCCTGCATTTGATAAGAAACAGACTGAGAAGGGATTAACGAAGGACGCAAAGCAAGCTGTTGATGAACATCTCTTTGTCAGTCGCAAGCCAAATCCTCCTACAATCGCTACGAAACAGATGGAAAGGGCCGTGACGAAAGATGCTGGGAAAACTCTTGACGAGCACGTTCTAGTCAGCCGTGAGCCAACTCCTCCCCCTATTCCTAAGAAGCCCATCGAGAAGACAAACAATGCACCAAAGGTTTCTAGAGAGCCTGTCTTAATTTCTCAGAGGAACAGCTTGCCGGCTCTTCCTGCTATAATTGCAAAGAAGCAGCCATGTGTGGGTAAGATACCTGGTAAAGCTGATGAGCCTACAGTTACCAGTCGTGAGACTCGTCTGCTAGATCATCCTGCAGATGTTAAGAAGCAGAATGAGAATTCATTGGTGAAGGATGACAGTGAAGCTGCTTGTGAGCCTCTGTTTGCCAGTCTGAAGAGAAGGTGGAGCTCCTGCGATTTTCAGGAAACATCAGTAGCTGAGTCTCTACCGAAAGCGAAGGAAGATAGACGTATAGAAGAAAAGAGGTTATCGGTGTTAGAGTATGTGAGGAATTTGGAAGAGCAACTTCAACAGAAAGCAGGGAGACCCACTGCCCAGCTTTCTAGGGCAAGAAGTGTTGATGGGAGAGAGGACGATTCTAGGTCCAGGAGTTCTGTTCAATTCGAAAGATCTGTTTCAGTGAAGACAGAGAGTGCAGGCGGAGGTGAAAGAGAGGAAACAGTGCAGCGAAGACTTTTCGCGGAAGTTGAATCTGTGGACAAAGAGCTAAACGTGACTTCTTTGCAAGGTGAGGGCGTCGGCAGGATCTATTCGCAGGAGCGGAGCTTCAATGCTGGAAGCAATGGTAAAGCCAGTGTCGATGCAGATGAGTTCTATGTCGATGCTGGAAAACTAGAAGAGAACGATGATGAAGCGTTGTTTGTACACGATGTCTATGAGGTGTAGAACCACCTTCATGCAGTTCCTTCACGGTTTTATGTCTAGGTTGCAGGCCTTATGTCAGCTCTGAACATGCTATCTCCTGTTCCAAGCTGCTTAGAGAAGCCACCGATTTCCAATTTTGTGGAACAGGGTTTGCGAAACATCAATGAACAAGACATGTATTTGGAGTAATGTTGTATCCTTTTCACAATAACAACATGACCTGGCTTTGAGGTGTGGTGGAAACATTTACAAAGAATAGCAGTATATATATATATATATATATATGGAATCTTTTCATTTCCTTTCGCAGAATGGGAAATTGTAGACTGTGGTGGAAGTGATTGAACAACTGAACCAGTGTCTGAAGCTTTGGACGTAGGCATACACCTCATGAATCAGAATGAACGATTATTTGGAGTTTATTCGTTTAGAGGTTACTTCAGCCTTTTTCGACGTATACTAACGCCATTCCATACACAACCTTTCAGATGCTTTTGTTGGTATTTACGTCTGGTTAACTAGGAAAGACAGTTCTATGAGTTTTGTTTAATTAGTGGGGTCTCACGATTGAAGCACTTTTGAAGAGGGGAGTCTCCGTGGTCAATCATTATATTGGGGGTAAGGATGTTTATTTCACCCGAGGTTAAGGTAGACAGGCATTTGCATTTAGTGCAACAAATTTGTAATAGGAATAGTCATGCTTCACAATTTTTGGCAGTTGACGTAATGTAGAACTATGACACAATGAACACACAGTGTTGTTTTGTACTTCGAACCAGGACGTGCTCAAGATCCCTTCCACATGCACAATTAATTTGACATGAATTTCCATATGCTGATGAAGCTGGTCCTCAAAAACTTATCATGTTTTGATTTCATTTCCTGGCAATGAGAATGAATTGTCCAGCATCACAAATATATTTCTTTTTTCTTGATTATTTATCTTAAATATAAAGTGAATGGCTGTCATAGTTATGTGACAGTTAAAGCAAACTGTTCAAATATTCAAGACCATGGTGTACAAACCTGATCACTATTGACTTTAATCAAATTGTTATAAATACAGTCCATGTTCTCCTGCTATGTTGAGCATGAAAAATTGCTATTTTGTTTGTCTACATACGTAAGTTGTAATACCATTCTCTCAATTTTGCCTCATAGACTTGCTTGGTAGCTTGGGTATTAGGACCTAAGAGGGTTGTTCTCATCCTCAATAATCGATGCAATGGGTTTTACCCTGTTTGTTTCAGAAAAGAAAAGACAAAATAATGATAATAATAATAATAACTGCTTGAAAAAACTGCGGAGATGCTGCATGTATTATGGACCATATTCCCACTTTACCATTGTATTATGCAGCCCCCATCTACAGTCAGATGCAGATGCAGCATTGCAAGGGTGACCTCTACTTACTAAACAGGTGAATAATGTAAACCGGATTATTATGCACAAGTTACAGTCAAATCAAAGAGCAGAGGCCTAAAGCATCTCAAATTGCATTATTGTAACCACAGCTTAAATACATGTCCCATCTTGATGTGTGTCAGGGGCATACTTACAAATATTTATGGAAATGAACAATTATATATAAATATATATATATATATATGGGAATATTAAATTGATCTACCTAAATCTTAAATCAATCCACCATATTATTTCTGAATAATGATTATGTTAGTCGCCCTACGCCTCACCTTTGCCATATTTGTCGTAGCTTCTTTCTACCATTAGTTGTGTGTTAATTTACTCCATGCCAATTTATTATTTTGCGAAAATTGGTTGCACTCCAAACCAAGTACTTAAATGCAGTCCAGATTCTGGAGTTTTGGGTCAAAGCGATGGCAAATCCTAAGTCCAATTCACCGAGCTCTTCGTGCATCCTCTTCACAGCGCTCAAAATTCACTTCACCACCAGACATGCCACCTCTGGTTCTTCCCAGCGAACTCACGCATCAATGTACTTCAACAAACACCAGGTATCCCTCGCAATGCTGGTAGTTGAGTTGGGTTTGGGTCAGTGGTTGACATCCTGTACGTCCTGTGACCTACTCATGGCACATTCCGAATTCATCCTAAAATCCAAAGCCTACGGGTCGAAAGGTGTGTCTTGCTTAAAGTGGGTGGTGAGTCGTTCTAAATGCTGTCACACAGCTCCTCCATACACTCAGTAATTAGAATTCAGTTGAATGCACTGAGTATGATTTGGGTGGGGAGAATATGAACTGGGTGGCAAGTTCTGCAGTGGATGTATCATCTTCAGGCGGCTATTGCATTGAGACTTCTTCGCTTAGGATACCCTTGCCGATGCACATCCATCACATTTAAGCACATCACGGATGGTTTTATGTTAAATTATTAATTACCTTAACCTCAATGGGTTAAACGCAAGCTATTGTGTACATAATTTCATCTAGTTTGAAGAAACACAGTTAGATGTGATCACCGGCTCCTTCCGCTCAATCTTTCCAACCTTCATAACTTTCCAGGAGTGCCCTGCAATGCCCTTGTATTCTATATGTTTTCTCGTTTTTGACGTGCCATCACTCGGAACCCCTCCCCTTTTACAGCGTGAAAAAGGTATTTTTCTTCCCAAACACAAACTTTCGACCGCTTCGTGTACGACAAGTATGGCCCCAGCCATCCACACCGTGGGTGCGTGTTACGTAGCAGGCGGTCATTAGTGGCCTTCTACAAAGCCACCGCGTCATTGCCTCCTTTAGTACTTGTGAGAATCTTCGAGCTTCAACCTGTCAAGCTTCGGTCTCCACCATGTGTTCAATTTCTTGTGGATTCACTCCGCAGCAACTCTGTCATTACAGGAAGAGCGGGGAGCTGATTACAAGAAAGAGGTATGAAATGCTGCCCAATTCTATGGCTCCACCATTATGTGCGTATTTCGTACGGTTTGAGATTGTGGGTTGATCGCGTCCGCGAGGAATTCTGAATGATGTGCTTGGAGTGAATAGAGGTGTTATTGGGATGGAAATTTTAGGTGAAGGTGTGTAGCTAATGGGCGGAGGGATGGATAGGTAGGTTTCTGGAAATGTGGAGATTCGGTGGTTGGAGATTTTGTCTGTAGTTGCTGGGTCGGAGGCGTTGGGAATGTGAGAACAGAGGAGTTATTTCGTGCAAGTTTGCATAATTTGATGATTCTGCTCTTCGAGAATTTCCAGTCTGGAGATAGTCTGGACTTGTGAGGTTTGAATTCAAGGGAGAAGCGGTGGTATGAAGAGTAACTCTTGTTGGAAGAGTACCTTTAGAGGTTGTGTGTTGCGTGATTGATGTGCACTTGAACGACCTAGCAATGAATCCTAGTCGCGCAGCTATTCGGTGGTGGAGGTATGGCCAACAATGCAAGGTGCTGTTGCCGTTGGATTTGATTCGATCATCGTCTCAATTCTTCATCGTAGTTCTCACTCTGGCGCTCTTCCTGTTCACCACGTGTGGAACTGTGCATACTGCGGCACAAGACAGATCATTCGCAACATTGAGCCAAAGATCAAGAGCGTCTCTCTTCAGTGTGGGACGGGCACAAGCAAGGAACAAACACCATTTGGCGCCGGTGGTCATAGTTCCAGGCACCGGCGGGAATCAACTAGAGGCCAGGTTGACAGCTGATTACGAGGCTAACAAGCCATGGTGCTACAGCTTCAGAAAAGATTACTTCAGGTTGTGGCTGGATGTGAAAACACTGTTTCCACCTTTCACGACGTGTTTCGCCGACCGCCTGAGCTTGGACTACAACCCGCAGTCCGATGCCTATAGCAACATCAAGGGCGTGAAGACGCGGGTACCGTTTTTTGGTACTACCGAAGGAATGGAGTACCTGGATCCCTCACTCAAGTAAGATATTCAAACTTTGGAACCTGTCGGCAATCTGCATTGTGGACACCATTGCCACCTGTGTTGATACAAAGATTTGGATGTGGTTAAGAAGCATAATAATTGAATTTAAATATCACTAAGCTCTTGAGTAGATGTAGATCATTTTTTAAAAATAAAATTTGATTCAGAATTATGATCTGAATTGGTGATTCAGTTCAATGCAGGTTTAAATAAAACTTACCCAGTAGGTGCCTGTGTTGCCTTGCGATTGCTGAGCAGTATATACTACTCTTTCGATCGAATTGCGATGTATAAATTTCTTTGTCCAAGCAAGTTTTTCAAGACCCTCGACGTCTTCAGCACAGTGTGCCTACTTCTGGATTGAGAGTGGATACAAGCAGCTGTGAAATGGACCATGAATATTGTGGACACGTTCACTCTTTGTGTGCAGATTCTTGACAGGCTACATGATACACTTGGTGAACGCATTAAAAGCTCATGGTTACGAGAGCGGAAAGTCATTATACGGAGCTCCATACGACTTTCGGTTCGCACCGGGGCCACATGCATCCAACGTAGCTCTAGAGTACCTGAAAGACCTGAAAGATCTCATAGAAACCGCGTACTCAGTAAATGCCAACGAGCCGGTGGTCATCCTCGCTCACAGCATGGGCGGGTTGTGGACTCTCTTCTTCCTGAACCAGCAATCCATGGAGTGGAGGAACAAATACGTTTCCCGCTTTGTGTCTGTAGCTACCCCGTGGGGAGGGGCGGTCGAACAGATGATGACCTTCGCATCCGGCAATCCGGAGGGAGTTCCCTTTGTGAACTCCCTGGTCGTGCGCGAAGAGCAGCGGCGCTCAGAGTCTAACTTGTGGCTGCTGCCAGTGCGGCGCTGCTTCAGAGACCGACCATTGGTAATTACCTCGTCGCGCAACTACACAGCTGGGGACATGGAACAGTTTCTGTGCGACATCGGTTTCCCTGAAGGGGTCGCGCCATACAAATCCCGGATACCGCACCTAACGGACATTCTACAACCTCCTCAAGTCCCCGTCACCCTAATTCACGGCTATGGCGTGCCGACGGCGGAGACACTAAGCTACGAGAAGAAGGGATTCGACAACCATCCCGAAATCACAGAAGGTGATGGCGACGGGACGGTGAATGTGTGCAGCTTGACCGCGGTGGTTGAGGAATGGGAGCGAGTCGCAGGTCAGGAGTTGGAAGTGATTGCGCTGCATGGCAAACAACATATGCAAATCTTGCACGACGACCATTCTGTGCAAGTGATCGTGGACGCCATTCTCAATGTTACCCCACAGGAACAGCTTATGTTCCACTAAGCCCTAATCGTAACCCTAAACCTAGCTCCAATCCTCACAGGATCAGGCCACATTCTCCTTGAAAAACAGCATAAGGTCGATTCTCCGCAGCCTCTCTTCCATTCCACCTCCCCCTTTGTATCTCTCTCCATTCAATTGTACAATTGTTTTTTTATTCATTCCAGGATCTGGCCTTGAAGAGATGTAGAATGGCCCTGTAAAACGCGCCCTAATTTGTCACTTTTGTGCATGAAGATTTGTAACAACAATTTACATCAACATCGAAGCATTTCTATCCCATTGCATCAAGGACTTTACCACACCAGTTGAAGAATATTTAAGATAACACCCAAACCAAGTGGAGCATCATAATATCAATACCTTCATACTACTTAATGAGTTGTCCTTCATTCCTTGTTGGAATTTTTATGATCTCAGAGTTATTAAACAATATCAGTAATCGGTAATTTGCACACAATATATCTCTGTTTTTCTCTACGACAATTGAACTTTTAAAAGATTCCGAGTACATCTGCCATTCAAAGTATTCTAAAGTTTTGTGAAAAAGATTAGTTGTTACTTGATCCTCTAATTAAAGTATTATCCAACATGCTAATTCTTACATGTATATGTAGTATTTTTAAAATTTGATTTTGAGCCGAGTGAAGAAAAAATGTTTTTAAGATTTTTAGTTCTATATTCCATTTTGGATTTGAAAACACATTTACCAAAAATAAATAAACATATATGATTTTTATTAATAGTCTGCATGTTTTTTTTTGACATTTGGCACTGTAAAATAAACTTGAAGATAAACTTAAAAACATTATTCACACTTGGCAAAACTTGATGCTCTTAACATTTTAACCAAGTAAGTTTAATTAAATTTGGGTTATCATGGTAGAATTTTACATAGATTTTGAAGTATCAACTTGGAGACATAGATAAAAAAATAAAAATAAAATCAAAACACATTTGAGAATTTGAACCATTGATAGAACAGTGTGGCAACAATAAGCAAAGGTGTGTGTATATACAGATATGTATATACACATATGTATAGATGTGGATTCCATCAAACTGAATACACCAAATAATATATTTAGGCAACAAGCTTCTTTTGTAAAAACAAAGGCAGTGGAAAATTTTTCAAGCAAGACTTACAATTTCAAATTAAGAAAAACAAAAACAAAAATTGCCATATTTATTCCTTCCGTTGGGCCAAAATTCATTAAAATCAAATGAGCATGTAATCTAAGAGTTTTAAAACAAGGGCATGGATATTTAGGTACTCTCACTCACATATTTTGGTACCTCATGATCAAATCAATTACCACATTGGAGTTCCTATTAAGCTCTCCACACCAACACTGATACCACATCTCTTGCAACCTCTATTATGTATTAATTATTGATTTGTCTTAAAGGGAATTACAAGCAATAACTTTTGGGGCTCTTCGTAGCCATGAAGGTGGGAGCTTGTTAGTGCCATGAATGTCATCAGCAAATTTTTAGAAGAAAGTCGCGACAATAGAAACCATGTTGGTAACTAACAATAGCATGGTTGCGAAAGTAGGATAGAAGCAGTGATTAGGAAGTGATTAGGAAGCTTTATAAACACCCTTGGAGGGACAAATTTCTCAAGGACAATGCATGGGTAGTGAGGCAATGCAATGGTAAGTGAGGTGACACATTTTGATGATGGGGATACCAAAATATCTAAGTAAAGATATTAAAATATTTGTTCACTAAATTAAAAGAATAATTTATCTACAAACAAAGAGTATGATAGAAATTACATATTACTTGACTATTGATATGATAAAATAATAACTTTTTGTAAGTTTTTTTTTAAATTGGATGATTTATTAATAAAAATTGCCTTACATAATGCAATGTGCTTATCCTCTGTGAATTCTAAAATACAAGAAAACATGTTTCAAAGACTCAAATGTTAGTCTATTCAAATAATGATCTATTTTAATTTTTGAAATACTCACTTATTGGCTATTATAGTATTAATTTTTTTTTGACTTGTGTAATCTCTGGTAATTTCTATTCATAAGAAAAAAATTAAAATAAATTAAATCATCTAACAATATTTTCAACTTATAAGATTTTTTTTAAAAAATAATATTATTAATTTGTAATTTAAAATTTAAAATAAGGAAACTTATATCTTAAACGTAATAATTAAAGTAAACATTTAATTATATATTTAAACCAATTCAACAAGCAGAAAATGGCTACACTTAATATGTCAATTGAAATGACAATCCTTGCATAAAATTTATGGATAGCTATACTTGCAATCAATGTTTTGTTTTCATAATTTTTTTTAAAAAAGTCATATAGTATATGATATTTTTTAACAAATATTATATTATCTTTCATTCGAAAATCAAAATATATTTTAACTGATGTGTTTGATGATGCGATTTTAAGCTGATTGTCAATTTGATTCCAAATTTTAAAGCAAAAAACTTTGAAATGCATTTGCAAAAATAATATTATGATTTGATTTAAATCTCTTGTGCAACATATTGTATAATTTTGGCGATGTGTATATATAAAAATTATTTAATAAATATACAATTTAGTGCTTGACATCCTTATTGAAAATTTCTAGTTATGATAACATGTATGGTCGTCTGTCATGTCAGAATTTTTGAATGCTGTGCTACAAATTGCATTGCTGTTTTTTATTTTATTTTATTTTATTTTACTCTAGCTTTTGGGAATTTTTAGAATTTATTGGAGTAGGTCTCATGCAACACCTAATTTCTTTTTGTGTAATCTAATCAAAAAACTTCATAACTAGTTTTTGAGAACTTAAATTATTTGGCTTCTTTAAAATAGATATTTAATAAAGAATATACATGTGAAAAAAATTTGAGAATAGAAATAAATGTGTCATTCCAAATGTTCTATATATATATATATATATATATATATATATATGATTTATTTATTTATTTATTGGTGTAAATAAAATAAAACCAATCATAGCTTGGTTCTTAAATTCTTCTAAAAGTGTTGGGTGCTCAAAGTAAATAAAAATAAGAGTTTATTTATATTTTCACAAATTCTAAATACCAATTTTTTGCTTGATCATTAAGAAAGGAATTATTTTTATGAAATATGGTTTTAAAAAGGTTTAAGAGGGATTTTTAAGGCAATAATTGTGGGTGGTCTGTTTGAGAAAACAAAATAAAAAGCAGACAAATTACACAAAGTGCATGGGATTAGTTATTTCAATCAAAGTTATGTTGTCATTTGATGGAATAGGGACATGGTAAGAGTGTCCCAACATGTTTTTGGATTAACTATGCCTAATCAAGTTGCAAAAATTTCAATAAACCGAGTAGTGAGTATAGGATTGGTAGAGTTCTATTCCTTCAATTTAAAAGTAGGAACAATTTGAATTGTAAAAAAAATCTAGATGATTTTTGAAGAAAATCAAACTTGAAATTCTGGGACCAAACTTAGAGATTATTTAGAAAGAGTTTTCTTTTATCTTAGGAGACCTTTTAATTGGATTTTTTTAATATCTTAATTAAATAAGCCGTAAATTAATAAAAAATTTCTATAAATAAAAATAAATGCAATTTCAGTTTTAAATTTCCAAATTTTAAATAAATGAATGAATTTTTATTTTTTAGGATATTAACTTCATATGATTGTAAGCTCTAACATGCATGAAACCATCCATTGCAATTTTTAGGCATTGTCTTAAAACATTTTTTAAAAATATCATGGTATCTTAATTTTAAAATCTAATAATTTTGGAGATTAATTTACTATATATATATATATCATAAAAAATAAAAATAAACTTCAAATATGATGTGTGTATGTGGCAGCTTATGGTCAAGAATAAACTCTTATCTTATACATTGATTTATTTTTATTTATTTTTGGATAATTATTAAATTGATCCATGCAGTTTCTAAATCAACCCACCTATCATCATTGGTTGTGGATCCAATCATTTTTTCATTGGTTTTGACTAATGTGAATTTGCAAGTGGAGAATTTTGTGATGATGGATGGAATGGGTTAATTTAGCAAATATTTGGGTCAATTTAACAATTCCCTATTTTTACTATATTAATTGTTCATGATACTTGCAAATAATTGTAATGACATGCATGAATAGTGTTAAAGTTCTCCATCTACTATTCAATGTCATTGTTGTGCAATAGATTGGTTGGCATTGATTCAATGTTGGTTAAACCTATTGTCGACAGGGTTAGAAATATTAAGTGCAATAATAAAGATAGTAAGAATAATAACAATAATAATAATAAAATCATGACATTGTACTTACACCAATCTTATATACTTTACACTGTAATATCATATTTTTTTGTGGGGTAGTGATTTGTTTATAAAAAAGAAGATGATCGTTATGAAATGTTCCATCTGTGTTTCCAGTATTTATCGAAAGATCTAACTAACTATATAGGTGATTAGTTAACTAACTACATTAAGCCCATAAAAAGTCAACTTGTGGTGGATAGAGGAGAGAAATGAATGAATATGTGGATGAATAGCTAAATTAGAAACTTCATTCGTTCAATTTGTTCAAGTTTTTATGACTCGTTGGATTTACACAAAGACAATCTCTTTGATTTTTATCAATGGCAAAGAATTCCACATACATGTTTAATACAATGGATGGTGGTTTTATTGATTTTTTCTGGTTTTATAAAAGTTGGATAAATATTTAAGGATCAGTAATCCTACATGTTTGTCTATCATAAAGACAACAATGGATAAAATTGTGACGAAGAAGTTCAAAAGCAACAGTTCTAATGAAAAGGCAGCAAATAGCAACAGATGAAATTGTTAAAATCATTTCCTTATAAAATGATCATAATAATAAGAAAAAAAAGAATGAGAAATGAAAACTATTCAAGCTCAACAATGCCAATCAAATTTGTAACTCAATTCAATCAATGCTTTCATCATTTTAAAAGTTTAAAATTTTACATGTGCATGAACAGATGTTAATATACCATTCAATAACTTTATATTGTAAACTAACTTAGCATTCCTATTCTTTGTCTTTTTCCTTATGCATAAAAAATTTTATAGTAAATAATTCACTTCTATCATAATTTGTAAAATAAATGAAATTTTATTATTGATATTTCACATCGATTGAATGCATGTATGTCTAAATTTATTACCAATGACAAAAATGGATGAAACGTTTGTTCTACTGTATACAACTACAATTAACCTTACATCTTCAAATGCATTTTTATTGAATGACATAAATAGCGAAATTCACACACTGAAAAATCTTAATGTTGCAGTTTTATTTGAAGACAAATATCACCAGATATTTTATTCATTTACTTATTTTTTTTGTACATTCTACAATAATTTGTGAACATTTTATTCCTAGAAAAATTCATTTATTTAATCTTTACAGTAGCATGTATATATTTCTTTTTTTCATTTATGTTATCATATATTTATGTAAAAGAATGTATATATATATATATATATATATATATATATTCACACTCTCAATCTCTCATCAAAGTACTTTAATGAAGTGCACCTCTTTCCAGGAAATTCCTTGTTTCCCTAGTCCATTTTTTTCTTTCTCTTCCTACTTTTTCTTTTTCCTTCGTGGCTCTTTCTATTTATCATAATGTTTAGTGAGCGTTCAACTACCCATGCCACGTCAGATGACAGCCGGGCAGGGGTGATTGGAGATGTGGACAAACCACACTTCCCAGAACCCTCGGGAACTCGCCTTGGAATTTGCGTTCCCCTCTTCCGAGGACAATGCTGACTGCGAATTCGAAAATCGCTGGAGTCGTCTAGGATGACTGAAATCAGCCTCAACGATGGATGAATATATCTGTACATTCGGATGGAATCATGGGGGCCGGAGCCCACTCTCCTCCTCGTTAACATCGCATTAAGAAATATCATCGTCTCCCTCTTGAAAACTCTGGTTTTTATGTGCATGATTTACATGTTTTCTCTGTTCAAGTATCCATTATTTTATTTTATTCCCTTTGTTACCTAATTTTGGTTGAGCAAGAAATGAAAGAAAAACAAACAACGTTGATTTTCATGCACGTATGATTGCAAGAGTGGTCACCTCCGTTGGAATGAGTAAAAGCATATGTGTTTGACTTCATGATGTGGAGGGCAACTTTCTCAAAACGGTTATTTATTCTTCTCGCGTAAATTCAAAATTAGATCCAACAAAATGACTTTCAAGATCTATCGTGGTTGATAATCTTCTCCCTTCCCCATTAATAAAGTTTAACTTGGAAACCACAAAAAAAAATTAAAATTTAAATAACAGACAGCATCCCACGATGAGTAAGAACTCAAAACCGATCATCCTCACAAACCAGAAAAACTCCTGGTAGAACATTAAAAAAAAATAAAAAAGTAAAAAAGTAAAAAAACACTCCCCAAGTGTGAATCCAAACACGAAAGAGTGAAAGTGAGTTCGACCCAACACAATTGACCGCCACCACGAACTCTACTTTTTGAATAATAAAAGCAAAAGTCAATCGTCCCTTTTGGATGAAAAAAAGTAAAGTCAAAGGGGGCGTAATTGTGCGAGGGGAGGATCAAAGAGTCTATTTCGATCTGCCCCGCCCCCGCTGCAGCAGAGACACAAAGCCCGCCCTCCCTTCCCCTCGCACTCTTTACTTCTTTTTGTATGTGTGTGTGTGAATATATATATATATATATATATATATATATATAACGTGTTTTCATTTTATATACATGTTTGTTTTCGTTGTTTTTTGTATCGTGTGGTGTCACGCGGTGGCAGAGTCGCGTGGTCGTGGCGGATTTTTGGAGTAGAGGGGAGGGGTGTTCACCGTTGGCGAGCGAGGATTGGAAGTGAAGTAATTAGGACGATTTTTTGCATTGGAGTTGATTGCAGCAGCCGTTAAGCCCTGGCTGTGGGAAGAGAGTTGCGGTGCGTGAGTGGGCGTGAGAGGACGTGAGTGATCGGAAGCGCGAAGGACTCAATTCGACGGTGGTCGGAGCGAGGGTGTGGCAGATTTTTGGAGTTGTGAGTGGGTGATTCAGATTGTTGGTTTCGCAAATGGTGAGAAGAGAGGCTGCAAGCAGGTACTCGTCGCTTTCCATGTTGTGTTCTCTTGGTTACGAGTGACTTAAAACGTGGTAGGAGACGTTGGTTTTAAGTTTAGCCGGTCATAATGTCGGAGGGTGTGTGTCTCTTTAGGCTCTGGTTTTATATGGTTCGAAAATCCGATGAAGTCATGAATACTGGCACAATTGTTCGCGATTAATATATGTGTTCATTCTCATTTGGTTAATGGAAGTTATTCTATTTGGTGGAAGCGAGAATAGCTGAGCTATTTGAAGTGAGGTTAGCCGAGGCTTTCTTGTGCCTTGTTACACTATGTTCTTTTGGGATTTTCTTTTGAGAGAATCGTATATGCATCGACTTAGCGATTACCACAGCACTAGGAAACATAAAGTCTTATCTCTCTTAGGGGGATGCATGAAAGATTACTTTGAAACATGAATTTTTTTCTGCAAGGTTTTGAAATCGTACCTCAGCATACTTTTATTTAAGGACCAAAGATCTTGGCCTGACTAGGGTCCTGTTGCTCGTCACCCTGTGCGCAAATAATGATAATTGTGGTACAATTTTGGATATAGTTATACTTCTCATCTGAAGATAACATGTACCATAGCTGTTAACTTATCCTTCGTAGAATCAGTAGAAGTTATCATACTTCACTTCGTATTACACTGTTCTGGCGCATACTGATATTTCATGCTTGTTTCTCATTTCAACGTTACAAGTGCCATGTATAACCAAGTGGGTTTAATTTGCAGGTGGAGGTCTTGCTTCTTCGCGTTCATATTGGTTTTACTCTGCATCGGCACCGCCAACTGCTTACAAGCTGTCACGAACAGTAGAACCACCCTACTTTCCAGCTATGGTTTATATGGCGATGTGATTACTACGATTGAGATTGGAGTAGCAATGGAGGTTTATTGTAGGGTGTCGGATATTAGTGTCTATGATGACCCATACTGGCTCAATGTGACCGTCGGTGTATTTAATGGATGGGTGGCCGATTACTACACAGACTGTGGGGGTACGGGCTTCTGTATGGTCCCAGATTGTCTTTGAATATAAATATTAAGCTAAATATTAAGCTAAGACTCGACTGGCACTCCACAACTACAATCAACGCCAGATGTTACTTTTGCTGGCCAGTTGTACATGCAGAATACTACTTTGAATACTTGGTTGGTTGAATACTTGGTTACTGCAAAATAAGTTCCATCTAAAATTCGTAAAGAGTCAACGGGGAAGGATTGGTTTACTCACCTAATTACTGAATTTATGGCCTTATCGACGACCTATTGGCGTTTTCTTCACCCCGATACAGTACCTCAGTCTGGCAGTGTTCCCTATTTTCGATCCTATTTGCTCTTCCAAAAACTCAGCACGTGCACTTTCAGCTGTTAACCGAAGTTGCAACTCTGCAACATGTTTACGCAAGGAGAACAATTGATTTCCATCCGATGTGGTCGGCCTAGAGCTCACTCTAGACCTAGGAGCGCTTGACGTTGGTGTCTGAGTCCTGCTCCGGATGTCCTCACGCAATTCTCTTGTTTGGCATACAAGGTTTCGGTTCTGTTTGATCATACGCGTGTGGTTGCGGAACCCTTCCTCCCTCACCTGTTTTAGCTCGTTTTGTAGCGATTTCACCTGCCACAGGTTTTCAACCAAAATCTTATGCAGTAATAATGCAAACTAGAATGCATGAGAACCTGCATCCCTACCTAAGTATTTGCCCGTTCATAACAGTACAGCATACCCGTACTTCCAACGTTGCTACTTGAAGAAATGCATCGTCCAGCCGAGGTTTCTCTACTCTTTCCAGCTGAAATTTTCCTGCTACATGTTTTTGATATATCTCTGCAATTCCCGATTTTATACCTTGAATGCTCTGCATAACGAGAGTGAAGCTATGATGTAAGTGGTCCTGTTCGTCATCAAACATGTGTTGTTAAAAAGCATTTAACCCCCTTTTCCAAAGTAGTTCAGTCATGCAACGAGTTATCTTTGTGGGTCTTAACTTCCTTACAACGATGCAATAAATTTGAAATACGTTTAGGTGAGTTGGTGAGACCTCGATCTTCTGTGACAGTCCGTGATAATCAGCTAGAAAAGCCTTCAGCTGTTCAGTCTGTCTGGAGTTGGTGTACATCAAATGCTTTCTTTCTGCAGCAGCAGCATGCAGCTTCGCCTTCGTGCTTGCTACACGGTCGTCCATGATTTTAGCCTTCTCATGCGAACTGTCCACATACGACAAACTCCATCAACCACTTTTGCTATCTAGTTTGAACGGAAATGCAGCTACACCACCGAGTTGACTGACACCGAGTTTGAACGCCTTATTTGTACTTCAAACACGATAAAGTCTATAATCAGCAAAAAGATGATGTCGATCGAAAAAGCCTTAGCTAGGCAAATTATCCTTGTGTTGTACAATTTGGTTTCAGAATGAGGCACAATGAAGTCACCATTAGGTCACCTAAACGGAAACGTGATAAGCATCTCAGAGTGTGTCAAACGTGGAATAAAACCTCAAAAGCTCATCCTCCATGTGCTGAATTCTTTCTTTAAGTTTTGCAGATTCAACGTGAGAAGGTCCCATACTCCGTACCAGATCCGTAATTTTAAAGTCCAGCACCCATTTGAACGTCTCAAGTTCCTGTTTACGTACTGTTACGAGTGAAAAGAATATGAACCTGCGGCACCTAGCTGAGCTTTTCGCCAAATAGACTACAAATTCTGTGTGAAACTTTTTATAAAGAGCAGCTGATAGCAATTTGAGGATTATGTAAGGCTACCCAATGATACGCGGGATTTATTTAATTAGGGTTTTCTAATGCTCAGTGCCCCAAAGATTGGCTACACACACATATTGGAAACGCTTTGGGACGGACTGGAGGTGAATTTTAACCAACAATACCTGGTTAGCTCGTTTAAGATCATACATGCGCTTGTCTTTCTTACGTAATACATTGCTCCTTTGCTGTAAATCCTTTTGAAGCTGCCTGTAATAAAAAGTAAGAGTGTAATCTGTACTCTCTATGCCTTCAAATCATTATATTACTTTATTGTGGCATCAAGCATCAGAAAGCGCATCATGTGTGTAGGCTGTTGACAGGGAAGTCACCAATCCAGCTGACATTCACATGGATCTTGCACGATCCTTGCTGACAAACTTAAAAAGAAGTCAATCCTAGGAAATTCATTAAGAGTCGAGAAAATCCTCGCGCACTTGAAAGTTTCGAGGTATCGAATGCACTAGAGCACAGACGCTTGCTTGTGACACGTGATCATGCGAAATATTTATGGTGTCGATTTTGAGAAAAGGGAGGATTCATTTAGGGATACGTAATGGATTACGCACTGAATATCACTTTTGCAGTCATTGGCAATTGCACAAAGTTCCTCCTTCTGGCCCAGTAGCTTTTGCAGCTCTGAACATGATTCGTCAACCTCCTTCTGGAACGCTATAAATTTGCTCTTCAGAATACCATTTTCACCCATGAAATGTCGTACCACTTCATCTGCTTTCTTCAACCTGATCTCGTATCTGCATGCCGAGGCCCATGCATGGCGTATATTTGTAAGGAGTATATCTTAACAATTTGTGTCCTGGACACCACGAGGTCTTCTGGCTATGGTAAAGATCAAAAGAAAAAAAAGAAAAAAACACAGAAAAAGGGTATTAATGCTGCGTAAGAATCAGAGACGTACCTTTCTCTCTGCAGCTCAATTTCATGATCGGCATCTTCCTCCGCCATATTTCGAGCCTGCTCCTGGTCGTCAGTAATTTGACCTTTCGACATCTCATGGTGATGAACTTCCACTTTAGTTTCCTGGATTTTCGCTTCGTATTCTTCCAAGAGCATCTGACCACATGAAAATTCAATGAGCAAATGACTGTTAGCCGGAAAAGTTCATCAGAATATGAAGAAGACAAGTACAGATCGCACCTGCCCAAACTTGACAGTCAAGGTAATGATGAAAGGTTAAATTGAAAATGTTTCGCTGTTATCTTGCCTGGGCAGCAAATTCATTGGTTTTACTAGTTGTCTCCAGGTGCTGGATCCAGCGTGCATTTTCTTCTTCCTTGCTACGGACTTCATCTTCGAACCTATGCATATACATTACTAAAAATACAGTACTTTTACAAAAAAAAACTCCCAAAAAGACGTATGTTGTCAACAGCCAACAGTGATCGGACCATTTTACACCTCTCACAGTTATGTACAGAAACCTCTCCCGTCATACCTATTCTGCAAAGTTCTGATAAAAAAATCCTGCCATTTCGTGACATGGTCCTGAAGATGAAAGCGAACCTTTTAACTTCCCGTATGATTTTTTTACAGTATTCTTCTTCCATGTCCTTAAGGTCCTTGGCACGAATAGCCAGAAGCACGTCCAGTTTTCTTTCTGCCTCCAACCCCTGCTCCGTCAACGCTTAGTCTAAGGCACAGTTAGACAGGTTTGTTTTTCTTTCCCCATGTGCAAAGTGGGGTGGAGTCTGTCGCAAAGAGTTTTGTTTTGAGGTGACATTTGTTCAAGGGGAATATTAGAAGTAACATGAGTGAAGCTAATGAATGACGTCGCGTGGGGTCTTCTAGTGGCAAAGTTATTCTAATAATGATTTCTGTAAATAGAAACAAAGTCATTTACACACATCTCTTCATATCTTCGTGGAGTATCAAGGACGAGGAAATTGTACCACTTTGGTTTTATCCGTGACTAGCTTTTGGTGCTTAGAGCGGACTTCTTCCAAGACTTCATGGTGGAGGTTTTCCAGATCTCTGATCTCTCTAGTATGTCTTTCATTGCTGTACTTGATTTCGTACACATTATACCGCTCTGTATCCGAAATCTGCATTCATGTACATAGAAAAGCCAGTTTAAAGATGGAATTACATCACTCATGACTAATCCCCGGTTGAACAGCTTACGAGTAAGACTCCCGGTGGTGTTCGTCATGCTCGACAATTTTAGGGTAGGCTCACTTGCTCATCCTGTGTCTAGTGACTTAGTGCATGGATTTCGACCTACGTAATTAAGGCTCCAGAAGCCCTCCATACACATAGCATGGCTTTCCAGCAGCATGAAGTTGTTACGCCAGGTTCAGTGGTGGTTGCATAGGAGCTATTTTTGAAACACAATCATTCTGAAGCAAGTTTCTTGTGTAGTACTGAATAAAATCCAAGTTGCAGGCGACACCTTTGTTTCAAGCTCCTGGGCCCTGTTTATGCAATCTTGTAAATCAACCCTGGAGATCAACACCTGACTGCACCATGGTAATGTATTGGTATTGGCCCGAGCAGTTCGCTGAGGGCCAGGGATGTGCATTTCAAACATTATCATCGTCCCGTCCTCAGATGCGCAGAATAAGCGGTTGTCGATGCTCATGCAGACTTCGACTGTTGACGTCGCAAATACCTTCACTTCTTGAAATTCTCCTGTGGCCTGACGTCCAACGCTCCATATTATCATAACAAGCAGTACATGTAACACAAAGGCTACCTGTGTATCAATTTACATATGTCTTGCTTTTGGTCGATGAATCTTCGTACACAGAAAAGTGCTTCAATATCCAATACTCACTTTACAAGCACGAAATTTTAATACCAATTTTACGTGCACAGTGAGAAGCTGTCAGGGGGAAAGTCTTCCAGATGCAAGATCATGCCTGTGAGAGGATACAGATAAGCACGAAGAGCTCCATGCTCCGTGCCTGCAATTATCAGGCTACCTCCTACGAATTGTTTAATCTGTGTGAGGTTCACATTGCTTTCAATTATCTGCGCCCCGACAATGCACCCCGAACTAATGAGAGGATTCCTTCTCACATCACTAGAAGCTAAGTGCAGGTGACAATTTTCACAACGTGTCGTTGATTGATTAAGGTGTGCAACCGAAGACCTTCGTGGTTTGTGGCACGGCCAAGCACTGAATAGAGCCATTCCGTGACCGACAAGGAAGTTACTTATGCACAAAGGAATACGACGGAGTGGTTCTTAGGTAAGAAGGCAAGGAAGGATAGAGGACTATACCCGAAGTAATTCCCCATCATCCAGCTCCCGAAGTTTACAATCTGAAGCAGTGCTGAGAAACACATTGGAATTCTTGTCACATATCACACAAGTTTGCGGGCAACCTTTAATGACGATCTCACGACTTCGCTTGCATGTCTTTAGGTCCCATTCATATATAGCCCCATCCAAACCCGCAGTCACTATACTGAAGTCATCATATGCCCACCAGATGCTTCTCACCTGTCAAATTCACATCCTAGATGGTTCAATCCTAGAAGATTACTTCATGATTTGGTTAAATTATGGGTATGCTGCTTAAACCGGGTCGCTACAATAGAATACAGCTCTGTTGGTGCAAAAATCGAATCCTACGTGCAGTTATCAAGTGCAGATTCATCTCATATAGATGATAGTAAAAGACTTACCTTATTTATATGGGCTCGCAAATGACCAATAACATGACCGGTGTAAGTTGAGATAATGTGAACAGTGGTGCCAGTCGCAGCTGCGAAGTATTGTCCTCCGCGACTGAAGGCGCAGTTAGTGCACCCCTTCACCGACAAAAACTCTCTCCATACTCTCAAATCATTCACGAGCATATCAAACAGGTACAAGCAGTCGGGAAATCCAAGCAGCAGATGCAACCCTGTGATCCAGTACCCAGGCGGTTAAATTGTTGGAAGAGATCAAACTCACACCACCACGTAACAACTCCCAACCACGATTACGTGAAAACTGTTTGATGTAATTACTGGCCGTGATAGGGTTCACGACAGTTAGAAAGGCACCAGTTGGATGGACGGCAATGGACAATGCTTCAGATGGGAAAAACTTCATGATCTCGCACGAATGTTCTTCATAGTTCCACACGCGCACACTGTTATCCTTGCTACATGTGACCACAAATGGTTTGAGCAGACATGTGTCCATGCCTGTTATGAATGCTTGATGGTACGACTGCTCCCACCCCACATGAGAAACAAAAAGATGCTAAATACTCACAATCGCCACATCATCGACACCGAGATGCGAATCAAGTCAATAGCTTCTGCAATTCTCAGCTCTCTACTTCTGTGGGTTAGTTCATAATGTGGCTCTTAATTCCGCTAAATACAAGTAGACAGCTTCCTGACAAAAATCCTTTGTGCCCACAAACACCCAATGCAAGCCTGCTGATCATGACCTTCTTGAGTTAGGGATCACATAGGGGGCACAACCCAATTGAAAGAGCCATGCAAACCACCAAATTCTCAGCCACAATACAACCTTATGGAGAAATGCTTCGGAGGAACCTGAGTGTGGACTAAATGCGAAACGGAATCAGAGGACATGGTGTCCACATCTCGGAGAAAGAGGTGGATAATGTGGTTGCTTGACAGTGAGCACAACAACACATCCTCGGTGGGTGACAACGCCAACCCGCAAACTCGACCGTTGGACTCCTCCACTTTCACCGACCTGACCTTCCTGTAGGTTTTCAGAGCTTTGTCGTAGTCATACATGGAAATGGCCCCACTTTCACCACAAATCAGCCCCTTCGAATATTGTAGAATCGAATGGGCTACACGTGCTTGATCTCCACAGTTTTGCATCGGTATTCTTGCAACAATCTGCACAACAACAGCAGCAACATCCACCCACATGCAACAAAAACTCTCATAACTTGACGCATACTTTCGATTACACAACAACGCTGAAAAACCAAAGCATGAATCGATCAACTAAACACATCAGCTATGAAATACAACATGAAGAGTTCAATGGACTAGAGATGAAGAGAACACCCACCTTTCCATTGTCAACATGCAAAAGCTCCCCTGAGTCAAGACCGTAAACGCAAGCACATTTCACTGAAGCATTGTCCTTGGTGCTCTTCCCAATCTGATCCAAACTCTTCATTGTTTCGGCTTTTTGGGTGTCTTTTGTTTTGCCATTGCTGATGTTGTTGTTGTTGTTATTGTTCTTCTGTGAGTCGTTGCTTGTGTCCTCGGCCACATCAAACGATGGAACCCAAGCCTGGCAAAGCACCTTGCAACCCTGCAGGTTTGAGTACTCTGTTGAAACTTGTTGCATGACATTGTTAACTATCTTGTACGTTTTTGCAAATCCATCGCCACACACGGAGAGCCAAAGCTTGTTGCTTGGACAACATTGTACCTATAATTCAATTTTATTTATTTATTTATTTTTTTTTTGTGTTTAAATCTTCATTCTAATGGCATTTATGAAAGCGTATATATGTTTTCATATATCTAATGAGCAAAACAAATGTATTTTTTCATGGTAGGAGAAATTATGATGTGAAGTATATAAACCCTAATTTAAAACCTAACGTTGCTGAAAATAAAATTATAAAATATAGGGTTTTAAAGATTTCAACTCAGTAAATGGTTTATACTTTTAAAATAAATTAGGCTTATAAATTGGTTTTGAAACAAACGAACCTGATACGGAATTGTGTGGTTTGTTGTAACAATTTTGATAGGATTCACCACTTTGGTTCCTACAACATGCCAGAGTTCTAATTCCCATTCAAGTGAGCCAACCAATGCAGCAATTTGTTTTCCATCACAAGTGAAAGATAATGAAACATATTTGTGTGATCCAAGCAATGTGCTTATCAAAGTTAGCATTTTTGAAAGTTTCGAAGTGCTGTATATACTTATTGTTGGATTTATTGTGGCGACTACTTCATCAATCTGGAATTGTTGAATTTTTGCAAACTCAGCTATTGCGAGGATTTTTTTGTCTAAACTAAGAGTAATGGCAGAAATGCCGCACATAGATGAGCTACCACTAATTATGTGTCCAGGTGCTTTCATATCAACCAGATTTTTTTTAACCAAACAATGACTTGCTACATACATAAAATCCACTTCATTCAAAAATTGTACTCCATTTCCCAATGAACCTTGCACCCCAAATACTTCCTTTGGCACAATAGATGATTTTTTTATTGACATTGTTGCAATTTTTTGTCCTTGTGTTCTTAAGTGTTGACCCAGATTTTATTAAAATTCTCGTTGATCAACAGAAAATACAAAATATAGCATGCTATTTATTTTTTAAAAATATTATTATTATTATTATTATTATTTTTTATCTCAATGAAGTAAAAATTTATTAATCAAGAAGTGATACAAACATATGAGAAATTTGTTTGTTCGAAAAAAGAAAAACAACTTAAAAATTTCAGAGGCTGAATGTTCTTTCTGTAAGCTGGAACACTTCTTGGGTGATTGTTGATATTCATTCTTTACCTTTATTGTTAATGGCTTTTTAAAAATTAAACAGGAAAATATTTGAAAATGAAAATTCCGTTTTTATTGTGGTTGATGTTTTCTATAGATATGCTAAATATTTAAAGTAACAATATAACACATATGAAAATAAACCAATGTGAAATATTTGACCAGGTTAATAATAATTTTGGTAGGTATGTACAAATGATTTTATAAGATGTATTATTTTAAATTAAAAATTGTAACACATAATTTTGAAAAAAAATCAGATTAATATAAAATTTTGATAATGCAATATAAAATAACATTTCAATATCAAAAGCAGTGAATCTATCACTTTTGATTAAACAATGAGTTCAAAAATTTAAAATTCAAAAATTTTGATTTTGGAATAGAATAACATAACACTTGTATAAAAATCATTTATGAAAATAAAAAATTACTTAATTTAATAAAAAATATTTGAACATTAATTTTAGATTTTATATTTATATAAATTATATTTATATTTATACTTATAATCTTATTTATCTATTAAAATTCGAATAATTAAAAAAATATATATCATGACTTTTTTTTATTTGATTATAGTATTTATATTATATCTCAGTATAAATTGAATTTAAACTTTTTGTACTTTTTTGTTGGATCCTATACAATATGATATGATTCTATCTTCTTTATTTTTTTTAATTGGATGAAATTTTTTTTTTATCAAAAAATGATTTTGAATGAATTTAGAATAATAATTATTACTAGTATTTTTAATAAAAAAATTTAACATTATTTTTAAAAAGATTTTTTTTCTTTTTTTAATCGTCAATATTTAAAGTCAAATTTGACAATTGATCTTAAATATAGATAAGATTATTATAATTAGATTGAATAAAAAAATATATTTTATAAAATAAATAAATTATCCATCAACTATATAAAATAAATAAGTAAATAAATATATGTCAAGGACATCAATCTCAAAGAAAGAAAATCTTCAACACCCTCTTATATCATTGAAAGAAGGCTTCACTCTTGCGTCTATATATACTCTCTAACTAGGAGCTATGTGGCGATATTCAATAGGACCTCCAACATGTGTTGACTTTGCTAGCCACATACCTTAACTTACAAGGCAAGTTATCTATGTATGTGCCACATAATTAGCTTCTTTCACAAGCTATTATATGGAACTAACTTGTTCTACAAGCTATCAACACGTGGTTAACTTGTTGGTTAAGTTTCTAATCTACAAACAAATCTAAATTCAAAACTACATCTATGAAGCTTCTAGGAAGCTTCTTTAAAAGACTTTATAAAATTAATTTATATTTACATCTACCCAATCATATAAGAAACTATTGGAATAAATATTTATGTCCATAACATTACACCCCTTTCTAGGGACAAGTTCTACAAGGAGCGGTCATCATCTTTTATAGATCTTTACAATTTTTCATCTTGTTTTTGATAGATGTCATTGATGAAAGACCTCAACCTTCTTTGTTGCATTTACAAGATTCTTTGCTTACTCTCATGTATGTTCACTAATACATATCCATGCCAATGAACAAGATATTCCAACCTATTTTCGCACCGCCTTGAATCTAAGACTTCTTCTACCTTGAATTCTTGATTATTATCCACTTCTATAAGAGGAGGTGGCATTTGTCTTCTTCTCGAGATATTCACTATCTTATGTGACTCAAGAAGAAACATGTGAAATGTTGGAGAATTTTCATAGACTCTGGTAGATATAATCGATAATCAACAAGATTGACTTGTTCACTAATAGGAAAAGGTCACAGCTTATGATAGTCCAACTTATCACAAGAACAAGTAGTCTTGATATTGTGATAAAGTAATCATACCTAGTCAACTATGTTGAATTGTGGTTGATCCTTGTAATAGGCATCTGCATTGGCCTTTTGTCGTTCTTGAGTTTCCTTTAATTATGTCTTCATTGTTGCATGTAGCTCTAACAAACAATTTACTAAATCTTTTGCCATAGGATTACCAACTTTTGAAAAGTCAAAAGTATCAAGTCATGGATGATAACCATAATTGAAAAAGAAAGGTATTTATTGAGTAGAAGAATGTACCAAATTATTGTATGTAAATTGTATCAATAGCAAAAGAGTTGTCCAATCATTTTGATAATAGTTGATGGTACACTTCAAATACTGCTCTAAAACTTGATTCATCTGTTTTCTTTGCCCATCAATTTGAGGATGAAAAGCCAAAGAGAGCTTTATATCCACCTTTAGAAACTTGAATAGGATTTTTTAGAATGTTGATACAAATTAAGTCTCCTTATTTGATATAATATCCTTTGGCAATCTATGATAGTAATAGATATTGGCAATAAAAAGCTTAGATGTTTTTTCACTTGAAATAGATTTTGTACATAGTATAAAATGTACCATTTTGGTGAAGCGATCTATGATTACGAATATGGAATCATATGAACTTGAACTTGAAAGATTTGTAATAAAATTCATAGAAATAGAAGACCATGGTTGTTCAGATATAGATAATATTTGGAAAAGACCATAAGGTCGATGACAAAGAATTTTTGATCTTGAACAAATGTTACATGAATAGAAAAAGTCTTTTACCACCTTCTATATTTACAGCCACCAAAAATCTTTAGATATAAGCTCTAAAGTCTTATTGTATCCAAAATATTTTGCTGCTAAAAAATCATGACATGCTTGAAAAATACGTAAACATGCTTTTCCTTTTGGAATATATAGGTATCCTTTAAAATAGAGTAAGTTGTTCTTGAACTTGAACTTTGAAACATCATGAGACTTACAAGAAAGATTCTTGATATCATGAATAAGAAGATCATAAGACATACTTAATTGAATTTATTTGACAAAGGTCAAATCTACAATTAATGTTGATTTCATTGCTTAAAGATGAAAGTACTTTGACTTCAAGAGGATTGTTCTTTGTTCATCAAAAGATACGTCTTCTTTTTTTGATATAAGATAAGAGCGTCTAAAAAGAGCATATGAAAAATCTTGTTATTTTTTTGGATAAATATATAATCTTGAAATCAAATCTTCATAATGACATGCTCCAACGGGCTTGGCGACGATTCAAAACATGTGCCAATATGAAATACTTGAGGTTCTTATGATCCATATATATTGTGATTAGACTTATAGTGCCATCTAGATAATGATGCTATTGTTGAATTGAAACCAGAATTATAAGAAGTTCTTTGTCATAGATCTTATAGTTAATCTAGGTTTTTAAATTTTTTTTGGAATAGAAAGCTATGAGATGGAATTTGTCATTTCTTTCCATTTGTGACAATACTACATTTAAGGCAAAGTCTGATGCATCTACTTTTATAAAGAATGACTTAAAAAAGTCGATATGATACAAAGTTGGTGCAAGAGTAAATTCTTTCTTCAAAGTAACAAACAATATTTTGGCTTCTTTATTCCACTCAAGTTTGTCTTTATAAGTCAAATGTATAAGTGGAGTTCCAACTTGAAAAAAGTTCTTGATAAAGATTTGATAATAATTGGTAAAGCCCAAAAAACATTGCACATCTCTTATTGTTCTTGGGATCTCTCAATCTATAATAGTTTGGATTTTTTTTGGATCCATCATAAGGCCTTCATTGGAAATGATATATCTCAAAAAGACAACTTGAGTAGTGTGGAATATATACTTTTCTATCTTTGCATACAATCTTGCATCTCTTAGTTTTTATAAAACATGACAAATATAAACTTCATACTCTTTTATATTTTTAGAATAGATTAAAATATTATCCAAATAATAGATGATAAAATTATCAAGAAACTTACAAAAGACATCATTCATTAGATGTTGAAAAACAACTAATATGTTCATGAGTCCAAAAGATATGACGTTATATTCAAAATATCCATACTTAGTTCAAAAAACAATCTTCTATTCATCTCCTACTTTGATGCAGACCAAGTTATATGCTCCTTGTAGATCTATTTTTATATAGATCTTTGCTTAATTTAGTTGATCAAAAAATCTTGAAATCAAAGATAAAGGATATCTATTCTTGATGGTGATCTTATTACGTCCTCAATAATCCATACATATCCACAAAGATCTATCTTTTTTCTTCACAAATAAGATAGGAGTGCCGGTTGGAGATTTAGAATGGTATATAAAATTCTTAACCAAGTTTTCATCAATGTATTCTTTGAGTGTAGCTAATTCATTTTGTGATAGGCTATAGATTGGTCTAAATAGTGGTTGAGTTCCTTCTTAAAGATCAATGGTACAATCATAAGGATGATACTTTGGAAGAATATTTGCATTCTTCTTTTCAAAAACGTTTTGGAAATTCTGATATTGGCTAAGAATACTACTTGATATCTTCTCAACATTAACAATGGGTGTGGCATATATAGCAAAAGATGGCCCTTCATTTGTGGCATGCATGAAAGCTTTTGTACCTATCAATAAGAGTTTGAATATACTAGATTTATGGATTTCTATTTACCTAATAGGACCTTAGGCTAAACTATGAGAGAAATTAAGATTGTAAGAAATACAGTCTATGTGAGGGTTATATTTTTCTAACCACAATAATCTTAAAATGATTGAGTTAGAAGGAGATTTAATCACATTAAATATTACTAAAGTATTGTGACCACTAGTTGCTACTTCTACTAGAATAGTTTCATATGTAACATCCTTTGAAGATAATGAACATTCATCTA